TGCATTTTATTACATCCAGCAAAAATTTGTTTCTAAAATAGAATGAGAGGAAAATCCATTATAGCAATCAAAATTAATGGAAACAGTGAGAGCACTCATCTTTGCTAAATAAATTATGCTTATCGTTAGGCCAAAATTTGAAGTAATAACTTTTGCAATCAATCTACAAGAGCACTGATGCTTTTTTACTAGTTTGTAAAGTCACATTATGCCAACAATGATTTATCAACAAGCAATACCAGGAACACATGGTCCCAATAAGGTAAGCGAATTTAACGAATCCCAAACTGTTGAACGCATCAAAAATTTTGTTGCAGGGGCTACAGGCCTTACTGATATGTATGGAACATATGTATTTCCTTTCGTGAATGATATAATAGTTTCAAAGTTTCTGAATAAAGTTATGACAAAATCAAGGAAAACACAATTACGAGATATATACGTAGTGAATTTCTCGTTAAGACATCCAGGAATAATTTATTTGTTTTATTTATTTTATTTAGCTGTTTATCTATTTATTTATTGAAAATCCAAAGACATGCCAAAATAAGTCAGATCAAGCGTCAACTTTTGTACAACAAGATGTGTCACAAGTATGATTCAGTTATATGTAAAATAGCTCTTCTTCAGGTCACCTCGACAGCTCTGGTACAAGCTTATATCCACCGAATTGATCAGGTAAATTCATCCTGCACTAGGAAATTTTCAGTGAATTTTGTTCCAGCAAAAATTAAGAGCGATATCAAAATTTTCCCTTATCAGTTCTACAGTCATTTTGCAATTTTTCACAATTCCACGCCAAAATTTGATCTCGAAGTCCAGTTTTTGTTAACTCACACCCCTGACTTTTGACTTCATCTGCACACATACCCTCATCTTTCTCCTTCCGCTTAAATTTTGTCTCTTCCTTGAAACGCAAGAAAAATTTTTGATGACAGTATTTCCATGGAAGATAGAGTTATGCAGTGTCGTACGGGCCAGCGCCGTGCCGAAATCCATGTCGAAGCTCTTTATTGATCAGAATCGTTCCGATACGGAGCTGGCACGGCACTCGAACGGTGCTGGCATAAATCTAAACGCAGTCTTAATAGGAACAGCGAAGAACTCAATACTGAAATTGCTTTCGGAAAAAATGAGATCTCAAAGATAATTGTTTTAGGTGAATGGAATTATCAACGCAGTTGTTGTTCGCCTATTCGATGAAGCCATCAAGAAAGCTACCGAAGTTGACAGAGAAATAGCAGAGATGAACGACGAGCGACTCGCAGAGGTGAGATAATATAAAATTTTCTAGAGAGAGGGAAAAAGTCCTAAAGAAACAAAGCGCTAACAAATTCGATTAAACATATCGAAGGAA